AATTGGATTTGTTGCTGGGTGTTTGTTTGATATTGGAAACATTTTATGGCTACTCTGAGATGCTGAATAGACCCGGCTCAGTCTGGCCCAGTTTGAAAGCTTTCATTTTGGACGCGTAAGATCAACACTGTCGCCAAGAGACTCTCCTGTGTCTGTTTTTTGTTGTCTGCTCTGGGCTCAAGTTATCATAAACTTAGCATGCATAATGATGTGGCTCACAGCAGACATCAGGGCTACCCTGAGGCCCGTCGTGAGTTGTTGCACCGATGGCCGGCATCAGGTGCCGGAATAACCATCACAGGAGATGCAGGAGGCACGTGATGCATGCCGGTTCACTAGAAAGAAGCTTCACCCCTCAGCATGTTTCAACTACAAACAAGAGAGCCAGTTTTTATCATATGATGCCCATGTGAATATATGACCAAAAGCACCCTGTAGTTAATCTAGTATTGAAGTATCGCCGACAGAAATGTCACCTTTGTTTCTTTTCTTGTTTAGAATAAAGATCTGCTGCTGCCTCGTCCTTTTTATCACTTTGTTGGGGGAAAAAAAATGCCACCACACTGGTTGCACCAGTCTGTTACACAACACCTGGCTCCCTGCTCTGCCTTTAGTCTGTCAGGGTTAGAAAAGCCTTTTTCATTTGTGCCAGAGACGCATGCCAAACATCAGTTGTCATGCACTGGTAATCACAGGCAGTTTTTTTTGTATTATTTACTCATCAACAGGCACCGTGTTTGGATTTAAAGGACCAGCGTGTAGGATTTAGTGGCATCTAGCGGTGTAGTTGCAGATCGAAACCCTTTCCTTCCAAGCATGTAGGAGAAACTATGTTGGAAACAAACGCCCTTATTTAGAGCCAGTGTTGGGTTTGTCCATTGTGGGGTACTGCAGAAACATGGTGGACCCTGTAGATAAAAACAGCTCATTCTAAGGTTACACACTGGACCTTTAAAGTTATTTACATGTAGGGTTAATACTTGTAACATTATTTCTAAGTGCTGCTAACTGCTTCCTTAATTGCCCCGGGTTAGTCTTGATTGGAACTCTCCCAGAAAAGCCTAAGTCTGTCAATGAGTGTAGTTACTAACAAAGAGTGTAAATATTTCTCTTATCTCCTTGTCTTGATGAGACTATCCCGAAGGCAGTGCAGTAAAACCGCCCCATTCAACCTTTAGACCCTTAGACGTCTTTCAGTGTGTGAAGAAGAGATAATCGCACAACCATCCCTTCTACCCTGCTGCAATCCTGTTAGCCCGCTGTCACCTTTGACCCAGCACTCGGTACGGGTGCGCGCAGCCTAAACTTGAGTCTATTTTTACTGTATGTCTCATACTAGTGGTTTATATGGATAATGAGTAGCAGAATAAACTGTCACAACTGGATGTGTTCCTCAGAAACCTTGTGTGTTCCCAGTAAAGAAACCAGTAAATGTAGAATTTCACTGTTTATTATGGAGTATTCCTATACCAGTGACATCTCCCCTAGTGTTTTGGCTTTCTGGTTTAATGCAATGGGGGAAGTGTTGCTTACATTTTAGTGATTAAACTTAGCCCTACATTAGTCATATGCGTATTCACCTATTAGGTGGGTTTCCCCTTGAAGCTGTGCTTGCAAGCTGCTGTTCTCTCTCCGTCTGATACAGTAAAACATACTGACATCTGAATGCATTTTGATCAGCTTTAATGCAGTAGGCTTCAGGTTTTGTTTTTTTCTCTCTCTCTCTCTCTCTCTCTCTCTCCTTCTGTTTCACTTTCTGGCTGCCAACCCTTCCTCCCTCCTCCCTCCTCCCTCCTCCTGCACACTTTCTGTGATCACTGGACAACAGCCTCAGTAATGAGGATGAAAATGCACTATGACAGGCAAAATTGTTTTGTGTGTCGTAGGTGCTTAAGAGACAGGACAGGAAGGATTAAGAGGGGAGGAGTTACTGGCTGAATTAGGTCTGCATTACATCTTTGGATTTGTTTTAACCATCTACCAGTCCTTTCATAGAAAAGAGGAGGCACAGTGGTGTATAACACAATCCCTCTTTTGTCTGGGAGACCTCCTGAGTCAACCTGAGACAAATCTAATTCCTCAGCTCTCTCTGCTCATGGCTGCTGCCTTGTGCTATTGATCTGGCTCACCACTTAAAGCTCGTCTGCCTTCAGCGCTTTGGCATCTTTATTTTTATCTCTTTCCCCTTCTCTAGCGAGTTGCTCTGCTCGTCCATTTACACCAGTCCCATGTGAGTGGGTGAATGATTGATGAACATGGCGTGGGACAATGATGTCCCTTGCATTGTAGACCTTATATAACAGGCCCCTGCAGGGCTTACAGGCCATGAATGTGACTGTGTAGATGTACACATGTGTCTGATTGACTCCGGTGCATCCAGTGTTCAAACACACTTACCCTTACATATTGTTTACCCAAGGCTCATTTAACAACACTGCTGTGTGAGTCTGTCACTGAGATATGTTTGGGGCTTTTCTCGCTCTCATTTTTCATCCCTATCTTCTGCCAAACATGCTTAACCTGCAGGTATCCAGTTTCAGTTTGGACTGTGATGAATGAATCGTGTGGAAGAGTGCATTTGCCAACTATGCTGCTGCTGCTGCTGCATTTTCAGGCCTTATCTGTGGGACAGCGTGCTGTAGTGCCATTGCTGTAGGCGTGGCCAGTATGAGGGCCGGTACTGGCCGTAGCAGTACAGCTGGTGCCAGAACTCACCCCCCCACACCCACACACACACACACACAGATTCACAGCCTGAGACTTCCTGTAGTTGGACCAGGATCACAGCTTGTTCGCTCTGCTGCTCCCGCTTAAACCTCAGTAACTCAACTCATTCTCCCCGTCCGACTACAGACTGGCCTGGCTTTTCCTTTACGTTAACCTCCTTTCTGAATAAAGAAGAGCCTTTCCACTAGTCTGTCTGCCCCTTCAGGGATTCAGGCGTCCTCCTACGTGTCTACGGCACGGGCAAAAAACTTTGTTGCAGTTTATAGATGAAACCATTTTTTAGCGTTTTGACAGCTTTATTCGGATAAGGCCTTCTCTGGATAATCCGAATTAAACAGCTTAGAGGAAGAGCAGGGAAATCTCCACACTCCAAGTGTGAGATATGGGGCATTTACTCTATTGCGTGTTTTGTTAGAAAAAGCCTAAATGATCCCTCAATCCAATTTCATACTGATTATAAAAAGTAGACTTCACAAATATACTGAGTTTCCTCTTCCCTTAAGGAGCGGCTGCAGTGGCTGCCACCATCAGCAGATATACTGTAGTACTGCTGTCCAGGTGTCAGGCATTTAACAGAACATCCCACAACATAGTCACACTGAGCCACACTACTACATATGGTGATTACCAACTTACTGCTGCTGCTTTCTTCATCTATATTCTGGCTGTAAGCTTTTTCATGACATTTCAGGTACCCATGAAGCATCACATCATGTTGCCTCTTCTCTGGGATTAGTTGTAGTAGTACATTCTGAGCTCTGAATAATATGTACTTGCTATATCTTTACAATGTGCTCCACTCTGCCTTTAAAGCAAGAGAAGCAACTCAAGAGCCATGTACAGAAGGAATTTGGAAAATGCCCAGCTCATCAGTTTTGATGTGAATTGCATGCCAGCTTTTCTACTTCATTGTGATGTTCCACATGTGGTGATGCTTTTAGTCACAGATATGCATACACAAATCAATCCTGAGCTTTTTTACATTTAGCTAGCATTGTTGAGTATTAGTGTTCACACCCTCAACAGGTCACGTGGCTGCTCCGAATTCTGCTGTTATCATTACATGTGGAGAAGTTGGTATCTCTGCCAGTACTTTGATGGATTTTATCTTGCATAGTTGGACAATAGTACAAAGTGATTATTCTGAAAATGAGCCCTTGCTGTTTCCTTATGTGGGACTGAGGCCAAAACCAACATTTATTGTTGATCGTCTAGATCAGTGACTTCAACCTGGGAGTACTTGTACCACAAAGGTTACTTCTGCAGTTACCACGGTATGTGGAAAGCTTAACTAATTAACTCAATTAAACTCAACTACAAAAAAATAGTGATTTTATTAAAAAAAATATGTCTACAAATGTGCGTTAAGGAGGTAAATAAACTACTAAACAGGATTACCAAGTAGTCTGATCTTGAGTACATTTAAAGTCACTAGTAAGCTAATTAAAAAACAGACAAAATGGTTGGGAGCTACTGGGTTAGATCACTGAAAAGAAAATACACTATCGGGCTCCACTGTTGCTGCGCTGGAAATATCTGAATGCAACTTCATGGAATAAGACCCACACACCAAAACATGCCAACACACATCACTGTAGCTTTCGTAAGGTGTTAAAAGTTTAGAGGGTCAGTTTTAGCGAGTGTTACACAGTGCTGTGCATCATCTCTGTCTGCCACCACCCACGCCCCTCCAGTCTGACTGGCACCTAGAGCGAGACATCAGGTGACTGGTGCAGCTGTGCCTGGCAGGGGGATCTGTGTCACTTTGTATCAAAGCCCACAGTGGTGGACAGCCAGCTGACCTGGTTGGAGTGCAGCTTGCTCGGCCGCAGCAGGCTCAGCACAGCTGTATCCCCAAAGAAGAGGCATCCCATCAGTGCAAAGATTACTTTGTCTTACCCAGCGTCATGATTTGGATTTTGGTAGAATTTCAATGAGTGTGCTTTTTGTTGTCAGGAAACAAACATACTCAGACTGGAGTGGTTTTGGCTGAACTGGTGCTGTCAGGTTACCTCTGGCCCTCAACTGATGTGCTGTTGATTTTATGGTTGTACGTTCTCGGCTTTCTCAGTGTCTGAGTGGGTAGGGTGTTTGTCACAGAGCGCTATCTTAATTATGGTGCTGCTGCGGGTTAATCATTTCTAGCTCTTATGTAACAGTGTGTCAGACCTGATAATCAATTTATGGCAACTTATAGCGTTTGAACTTTTGTGTTTTCTTATCGGCTAACAAATATTAATGTCGTCACATTGGGTCTGATTTGTGTCTTTCAGAAGCTGGCAGCAGAATGCCAGAGTGCAGGCTACAGTGGCACACTGATCCCTTACAAGTGTGACCTGTCCAACGAGGAGGAGATCCTGTCCATGTTTTCCGCCATCAAGACACTGCACAAGGGCGTGGACGTATGCATCAACAATGCGGGGCTGGCCCACAACGAGCCCTTGCTCAGCGGAAAGACAGAGGGCTGGAGGAACATGATCGATGTGGGTGGAACACCACAGGCACACAAATATAAGAGCTTGGGCTGAAACAAGCTGGAGAGGAATTTGGTTTTATTTATAACGGGGGTGGTTAGAATTAACCCCTGACGCTGATGTTGTATTGATTTTACGGTTGCTCTACTCAAACAGAGGGAGGAGCTAACATGGTCGCCCATTGTGAGTAGAAGTCTGTAGAGCTTGTGTTGTTCAGAGAATAAGAGTTAAAGCAAAAGTGTCTAGATACATGGATCTGCACACACACACACACACACACACACACACACACAGATCCCCTCCCCTCACAGAGGCTGCTTCATTGGCTCTGAGGAGAAGCCCTGGCACTGCATAGGCCCACTAATGAAAGCCAGCACTATTTCTCTTGTTAGGACATTCTGATTCATTGAGCTCTTGACCACTGAAGACCCCCTGCTCTAAAGTCTCTGTCTCCAGACTCCTGCGTTCGTAACGTCCGTCCATCTGTTGTCATGGCAGCCCACGTGAATGTGTACAGCAGTGTATTTTTAGCCTGTGTTTAATCTGTACGCTGACCTTGTTTGGTCACTTCCCCCTATCTTGCCACCGCGTTGGCTTTAACCTGCCGTCTATCAATGTCACTACGGGAGCAGCTTAGAGGCCACAAGCTGGACAGGAACAGCAGGTTCAGATAGACAACACGGTGACTCAGTGAACATCAGTCAGCAGTTTCATCACATAGCAGAATCTTAAATGTGATTTAGCAATAAACCACAATTAAGTTGTGAAACTGTATCAACTCACTAATGTTTTATTTCCATGCTGTATGGGTTTCTTCTTGTTTGAAATACAGGGGCGATAGATGTCGATAGATGGAAACAAATTGACTGATATATAAATGGTTTAAGTTGCCATCTTCATCTACCCTGCAGGTGAATGTCTTAGCCTTGTCTATCTGCACCCGTGAGGCGTACAAATCAATGAAGGAGAGGAATGTGGACGATGGCCACATCATCAATATTAACAGGTAAGATATACAGTCAACCTTCAGATCTAAGAACAAATGTATGGATTAATCTGAGAATACATTATCCTGTTTGTTGAAGGTGATTTTAATCCAGCAGGCATTAGGTAAAGCCAGTGGTGAGTCCCATCTGGCCCCTGTTGGACCTGGAACAGTGTGAAGAACTGATATTAAACTTCTATTTTAATTACGACTCCTTTCATTTGCATTGATATAGTAATCTTGGGATTATTATAATCCTGTTTTTGAATTTTGGGTTGATGAATCAGAGATTTTCAGAGAGAGTATATTACTTTAATTTGGGCTTGAATCAAGGTTGAGCTTGGAAATGTGGTTTCTAGCTCATGCATCTTCATCTCATCTTCTACCTGTTACAGTATGGGTGGGCACCGAGTGGTGCCAAGTGCTGACGAGCATTTCTACTGTGCCACTAAATACGCTGTGACTGCTTTGACTGAGGGGATACGGCAAGAGCTTCGGGAAGCCAACACCCACATCAGAGCCACAGTAAGTTAGCGTGCAGGTTCTTCTCTGGCCTGTGCTATTGCTCACACATTGGACCACATACGTTACTGGATACAATACAGTAGGTCCTTCCTGTAAAATGAGTCCAATGAAAAGCGTGTTTTGTCTGTGTTTTTATGTGTGGGTAATTCTTTCGTGCCTTTTCCTCCCCTGCAGTGTATATCTCCTGGAATTGTAGAGACTGAGTTTGCCTTCAGGCACCACAACAGTGATCCAGAGAAAGCAGCGGCAGTGTATGAGAGTATGAAAGTAAGAGTGCACATTTGACTCAGCAGTTGGGTTTTTACAAAGGGAAAAAACACCTGAGTGCTTTTGCATCAATAATGCCTCTTATCTCCACTTTTCAGTGTTTGAAAGCAGAAGACATAGCCAGTGCAGTCACATTTGTCCTCAGTGCCCCTCCTCATGTCCAGGTATCTCTCTCCTTCTTTGATCAAGTGCATCAGCGCTGAATGCTGGTTGGTTTCTGTATTCATCTCCTTCACTTGTGTCATCAGATTGGCGATGTGCAGATGAGGCCAGTAGAGCAGGTGTCATAGCAGTGGAACAGGAAGCTGCAGGAGGAGCAGACAGACAGCAGCCATGGTGACTCCTTAGCGACCTCTGCTGGGCAAAGGGGGGAGGGGTGGGGATAAAACAAATCAACTACAGCTGTGTTGGATCTACAGGGATGTGGTCAAAGAGGGCTGGAGCCTTAAGGAGGCTGTGCAAGGAAATGAAGGGCTTGGACTTAAACTGTAAACCACTACAAAAATACTACTGAATGCAGCAACCTGGTATTTGTGAATTGTTGAGCCCAGTCCGCAACTGAGCTGACTCCAAACTACAGTAGGAACAAATAACAAAAGGAGAGAGTTGCTGCTGTGCTATGTGGGCGCAGCCATCACTTCAGAGGGAAGAGTATGCCATTGATTGCACATGTTTCTTTGTTTTTTTTGTTTTTTTGTTTTTGTAGTTCATATGACATATCTTTTTTGAAATTAAATGGGAAGAGTAATTGCTGTTTATAAGAATGACCTTTTTTTGTTTGTTTAATTTTTTTATAAATATTTTAACTTTTGATCATTGGTAGATGTGGTCTGATACTCACTAACCATAGACACTACTATGTCGTACTCACTGTAACTAACCGTCAGCAGTCCATCCTGCCACCTTTACTCACCATATGTTTTCACACACACATTCAGTTGCCCTGGTTTGGATCTACCCAGTTTTCAACCCCATATAAGGAATCAGGAAAATTATATAAGAGAGATACCCTTGTCTATTAAGCACACAAGTTTCTACAATCCACCCTTTTGCCTGTGTAATTTCAGTTGTTCTGCACTTTGGATTCATTTATGAGGACTTATGAGGAGGAAACACTGGCAACTTACGTAGGGGAAGAAACTAACTCTGTGCACATGTATACCCTAAAAATGTGTACCTTTCAGTGGAAATTTCTCCTTTTAATGAATAAATAAAAACAATTGCCCAGAAGTAAGTTGTGGTTTGTGTTATGTTCACTTGACACACTATTAAGAGTCAGTTTGTCATTGCAGAGATGAGACACATGCTGTGGACTTTGTGACAGGTTTTTATTACACCTTACATGACATGACACAGAGCTGCATGACGCATGTATTCCTCTGTGAACTACCATATACTTATCAGCAGTGTCCTGTTGCATTTGACCTAATTAGTCAGAACACAATGAAATGGTCCACAGTGGTTTATGTTTTTAAAGGATGTTGTTCAATACAAACGTTCAACTCCTTGAACCATTATTGTTAAATAGTGGCTTTCTTTGTCATTTTTTAGCTAAAATGTATGTAAAAAAACTTGGTTAAGTACCTGATTTCAGATATATCACCACTCATAATTGCATCAGCAGACATGACCAAAAGATGGCAGCCTTAGCAAAGTAAAAAACACAAATGAACACAGGGAAGTGTGTGTAAAGTCCTGAGTGCCACGCCTTTATCCTTTGGAGCTCTATCACAAGAGAGGGCGTGTTGGTCGGATATTATTACAGATATTATTACAGATGTACACAATAATAATCTCTAAACACTCGTTCCACAACATCTTATCACATTTTAAAATAAGCAAAGGTTCAACAAAATCTCAAATTAAGTTCATAGACAAAAATTGTCAATCTAATATATCTGCATGGCAGATATGCTGCAACACATTTTCACAATCATGTAGATAGTTTTTGTAGCATACTTTATGTACTGATTTGAGCTTATTAGAAGTCTGTCACTTGGTGAACATTATGAGGTATCAGAAGTTTGTCTCAAGACGAGGTTTTTCAGGTAGATGGATGCTGGAACTGATTACAGCTATGGCTGGATCTCCATATCTCCCTCCCCTCTCATAATACGGCATCTTTGACATTTCATTCAGCGCGAATGGTGTGATGGACAGCTTCAGTTTCTGTTTTTAAAAAAACAATAATATTAATACACAGCTTGATTTTATATGAGAATGACATGGCACATGCACATGGGTACTACCTGCAATGTCATGGGTGGGAAAAACAAAAACTAATAGTGAATATACATCACCTGCATGAATGAGCCAGGGAGCACCCACAATGTGTGAACAGCACCCAAAGGAATCCAGATGATGGAGGCCATGGCAATGACCCAGCCGACTCCCTGAGCCCAGGGAGGGAAGACATAGTCCTCATAGCGAGCTGGTTTGAACTGGATGATGGAGAAGATCAGGATAACCTGCAACAAGAAGAAACATTTCAACCTTAGTTGTGGCACTTTAAGATGGATCTCTGTTTTGCTGTAGGGGTGAAAATCACATGGATGAAAAAAGCCTTTTGACTCACAGTGATCAGCACAGGAGCAATTATTAGCCAGCACACTTTGAAAAAGATGTTTGCTCTCTTTCCAGTCATCTCTTCGAGGTTGTCTGAAAGTCGAGTCACTCCTGCACATGGAAAGCTACTTCAGTTAACAGCCATGCATATTTTGTTTGACTTTTAAAAGTCGGATACTCAGATATGTACATATAGCCTTGTTATATTAATATAACATTGTTAAGATGTATCTACTTCTGGAGTACAATGCACCATCACATTAACTAGCCACTAACCACTACACCATTTTAATTAAAAAATGGATTACAATGAAAATGTACATAATTTAGTAACAAAAACAACAGAAAAAGATTCTTGATTAAGCAGCTTTTAGTAGTAATTTTAAGTGAGACTAACTTAGTTTTGTGAGGTATTTTGTTTTCACAGTACAAATAAAAATTATAAAATTAAGTCAGTGTTACTTAGCTATAAACTAAATTTTACTTCAAATTTCCAATGTAGTTTCAACTGTTTAAATTGATCTGGTTTAAGCACAGCTGAACATGGTTTTTCTCACCGTAACTCCAACAGATGGCTATAACCTCAAAGAATGCAAGAAACATGATGGACACTATGGCAGTGTAATGATCCATCAGCTGGAAAACATAGATTCCCACCTGAACAGAGAGACACTCTTTAGAACAGTATGTGATGAAGAATATTACAATTTGGTCATAATTTGATTAACATTCATCCAAATTACAATCTTTACCTGCATGACACAAGGAATCCCCAGGAGGCACGCTGCACCGCAAACAGCAAGAACAAACAGTTCCTTCCGCTTGAAGAATTTGATCAGATTTTGATAGAATTCATCCATGAGACTGGTCACCAGCACTTCAACCATTGCAAACTGACCAAAAAGAACAAACATACAAAGAAGTCATAAAGTAGCTCTGTAGGATGGGTGAAGTGGATTCACACTGAAGCTGTAATGTTTTCATGAACTACCTCACTGTCCAGCCCGAGGCACAGCAGCATGAAGAAGAACATCACAGCCCAGAGTTGAGCCACTGGCATGTTTGCAAAGGCTTGTGGGTAAACAACGTAAACTAGTCCTGGACCTATTTACATAAACACACACACAAAGATGTCAGTTTAGCTTTGCTGATTGAAAAAGTAAAAATCATTACCCATCCGAAGAAGGGAAACATGAAATTATGAATGTATGAATTAAAATCAAAATGTATCTTTGGAATGTGAGTTCAAATTAGTGTGAAGATGGGAGAGTTCATAGCTAGACTGCAGGCTTTTGAATAAAAGAGAAACAGTATTTTTCTTTCTTTTCTTCTACATGTGCATCTGTTGATCTGGGTGGCCAGCGGCTGCTTACAATTGCCCTTACAGTCTACAGTTAAAGTTGCACTGAATTAAACAATATATTTGAGTGTACCACATTGTATTACTATGTGAAAAATGTAGGTGCATCTTTAGGTAGTCACAATTGTTTCTGTAACAGAAGTATGACAAGCTCGGCTACACTGTAAGAGTAAGAGGTTGCATTTTAGTTGGCCTTTTTCAATTTATCTTCTCCTTCGTCATATCATTAGCTCTGGTTTTACTTTTTTTTTTTAATTACCAGCAATTACTTGTTTCCTTTTTTTTTTATATTATCAGAGTAATTGCCAGGTTACTCAAGTACTATGGGAGAAACGATAAAACTCTAGAAACAAAAATGAGAAGTAACACCAGTCCCTCAGGAGCTGAATATTTTGACCACTTGTTTTCTTACCATCCACAGCCAGATTGCTGACAGGAATGCCCTGCAGATGAGACATGTAGCCAAAGGCAGAGAAAATGACAAACCCTGCCAGGATACTGGTGAGGGAGTTAATGATGGATATGGTCAGGGTGTCCCTGTGGGGAAAGAATAGGTTTTTTATATTGCTTTCTTTCTGCCCAGAGAGCATAACTGTCACTGCTGTGGAGGGAAATTGAGTGGATTTTGGCTTATTACTTCAGAACATTGTTGTTGAAGGAATTGTAGCTGGACATGGCCAAGAGGGAGCCGAAACCAATCCCAATGGAGTTGAAGATCTGAGCTGCAGCATTCACCCACACCTGCAACACGAGAATGTTTATCCAATACCAATAATCACTGCCAGTACCAATCAATACCCAAGCCAATACGAATGCTAGCATTCATCTTGTCTCTCTCTACAGCAGCATCAGTTCTCCTGTGTCAGACAGAACCAGTACCTGTTTCCTTGTCTCCCCTCTTTTTTCTTTCTTACCTCCACTGAGAGCAGCTTGTTCCATTCCGGCACAATAAAGAAGGTTATTCCATCTATTGCTCCAGGAAGCTGCGCATTATTGATCAGCAGGGCAATCAGGATAATATACGGGAACAGGGCTGTGAAGTACACCACCTGCAAACGTAAAGAAACTAGGGTTGTCATTCACTGTCTGTCTATCTGTCTCTCTGCTTGTCTCAAATTCTCTCTCTTTTCACTCGCCTTGCCTGTTGATTTCACCCCCTTAAAGATGCAGAAGTAAATGAGGATCCAAGCCAGAAGGAGAATAAGGAAAAGCTCCCACCGGACCACTCCTGCTTCCTCTACTCCACTAGTCTGTTCCAGCATCTTATATCTTCAAAGAAGCCAGACAAAAAGGAAAAAGGTAATTAATGCAAGACAATTACATTCTACATTAATTTTGACATTACGTCTCAGAACTGAACACACTATAGCCATTAACAAACAGATGGTTCCAACATTATTTCCAGCTGTAATGAATTAGTCATAGCAATCAGGTGGACACTGGGCTGGGATGCTAACATGTGGTGTCGCACAGGGTTCCTTGACCATTTTTACCAGCCAAATGCTAGCTTCGTCCCCCTGTGTTCATCTGAATCTACAATAATTTGTCAGTAATCTCTCTATTGCAGGAGGATGAATAAATACATTTCAATGAATTATCAACATATAAATAGATTGCTATAAAATTATGTACAGACATTCATGGTACACAGAAAATAATTCTAATGACTTGGGTGATCCC